CACCGACGACCTTAAACCGAGAGTCGGCTTATTGGAATCTGATTAGTGAACGACATCTTATTTTCGAAAATCTAGCGTCATAATGTTGCATAACTATTATGTAGTTTCGATTGTTTGACATAGCGGATGTTTGACTGTGTTGCATGGCCATTTTTGAAAGCAAATGGAACAGAGGCAAAGCAGAGCTTTGCATCCCCTGTGATGAAAATTAAATGAAAATCAATACTAGTAGATAAACAGCAAACGTAGAAAAATTCAAAAATTATTTTTAAAAAAACATGTAAACTAGCAAAAAAAAATCTCGACCAAATTAACTGCCCCTTTAGAAACGCTACCAGCCAAAAGCGTAGCAAAACTTCACATTAAATGCGACACAACACCTATATATCATACTAAATCGAGCAACAGAAATAGAGATGAAGCAGTAGAAAGAACTCTTTTTTTTGGAAAAAAAAGTCAAATAGAGTGATGTATCAAAAAACATCCAACATTCGTCTTGATTTATTCTTGAATGGACTTTTTTCATGAAAATTAGTCAAAACTTTTTATCAAAAGGAAAGTCAAGTAAGAATTGAAACAAAATTTAAACAGCGATAATAAAGCCGATAATTCTAAAGCACGCATATTGCGCCGAAAAAAATTATATTTTTAAAAACTCAAAAAAAAAATTTAAGTTTCTCTACAAAAAAAATGGTGAAGCATTATTGCTCCCGGATGACTCCAAAAAAGACCTGTAAACCAATGTATAAGCAACCGAAGCCTTTTGAGCTGAACAGAAAGAAAAGGAGAAAAAAATGTAGAAAAAAATGCTTTAAATTGAGATTTTACGACCCGAAAAGAATTTGAAAACCGAAAAAAAAAATTGTAATTTTTTCGAAAAACTAATTTATTTCTTAAAACTGACTCCACCAAATAACAACAATAAAGAATTTTTTTATTTGATTTTCCAAGAAAATGAACACGTCAGAGTGAAACTTATCGTTTCTACTTAAATTGACTATTCTGTCAACAAATTTACTAACAGTATAAAAGTCTAGAACTCGATTGCAAAATCCTTTGCTTATCACAAGGGTAATTACAATTAACAATCAAAGTCTTTAATTGATTCCTTTCTATTATTGAGCTTTAAGGAAAATTTGGATAAAACTTATATCTGGGCAAGCACCATATTGCTGATTGTAATAAAAAGTTTTTGAATAGGTTATCTTTCCTTTTTAATACATTCTTAGACCATATAGGGAAAATTATCCCAACACTTAGTTGAACAAAAATGGGTTGTTGTTTAAGTGTTTCCCTAAAAAGGTACCTCAATTAATTTTTGCATATGCGAGTAACGCTGTCGACTTCGCGTAAATATAAAAAGCATTATTATAACTTTTTCATGGTTAGACAACAAAAACGAATTTGTTGAATTTATGCCCAGAATGTAAAATTGTATAACGGTCTCAAATTTTTTTGTTCTGACTTTCAAGAAAATGCGGAACAATTATGCTTGTGGTGGTTTTTTATTCAGTCAATTTTCAACTTTTTAACTCAGCATTTTCGATGGATTTTTTTTTCAGCTCAAAATTAAAAACTTATTCACCTGTGATCATTTTTTGTAAAGAAGTGGGGTTAAAAATTCAAAAATGTTAATTTGACCAATTTGGGATAACTAACGTGCTACATTTTGCATTCTTATGGCACGGGTTAGCAGCGGATTAAAGCGCTCCAAGTTGAACTAAGGTAAAACATTTGGTCGTATTATTAGGATACAATTAGGATGCAAGATTTTCAAAATTTTTCAAAAATTTTGACGCTCGCCTGCTAGGATAATATAGAGGAAACGCTTTAAAAATAGCAAATGATAAAAAGTGATATGAATTTGAAATAAATGATCTCGGCTTTTGACCTAGGCTTGCCTTTTAAATGGAAAGCTAAAAAAAAGCCCATACTAATAGACGGGTCCCTACTCCCTGGAGAAGACGAGCTGGAGAACATTTGTAACGAGGACTATTTTATGTGCCCTGAATACGAACAGTGTGCGATAGCATGTGATGGTACAGCAGAATGTCTAACAGGAGGTGAGAGCTCAAAAGGACCTTGGTTAATGATAATTATAGTAGACACAGAACAATGACACAGAACAAAGGCGAAGCGGAGCTTCGCAACACTTGTGATACAATTAAAACATTGCCTTACAAAAGTTTAGGAAAAAGAAGGAACTCTTTCTTTTCAAAAAAAAATTAACTAAAAAAATAACTTTAAAAAGTCCAAAAAACTACAAACACTTCATACCTTTGTCTCGGAATATGCTACTATTCTCGAGTATGTTTTCATGAGATCAAGAAGTTCTTACTTTAACGCCAGAATCTCAAAAAACAATTAACCGAGAGTTTCAACAAAAGTTTTTATTGACATCTCAGCGTTTGAGTGACATGCTAGAAAATTTCAGTCTAGAAATGTCATATAAGCAATTATATTAGTCAAGCCATGGCACGATAACCCAAAATTTTACAAGGTATTTGGAAAGTAGCGGATTTAGGGGGAGGGGCGGACCCCCCCCCCCCCCCCCCCCTCAGGAATTCGACCCAAAGGGTCTCCCCTTTGTACTATTTTAAGATATCCATTTTTGGCTGACTGACCTTAAAATTTTTCTAAAGGCGCCTTTGGCGCCAATGTAAAATATGTTTGAGGGGGGAGCGCGCGCCAAAAAAATCAATTTTTTGGTCGAAATTTTCCAAAAAGTGCCTAAAAACGCTATTTTTGGCCTGTTTTTCAAAATTTTGCCTGCGGCGCAGAAATTTTGGCCAAAACAGGGTCTTTATAGTGGTTTGGGAGACCTCAGAAAATCACTTTAGTCGACCTAAAAAAAAGGTTCGAAAAAGGCAAAATTACGAGCACAGTTGAAAAATCACAAGACCAGCACCAAGGTTGAGTGGTCACGTTTATCTATCAAGATCATCTAGATTTTTAAACTATCCAACACAAAAATTTTTCTTGGTTTCAGTCTGAATTGGCAGCACTAAAAAGGATATCAAAAAGAATTTATACAAGCGCAATAAAACAGAGGCCGATGCTTAAGTAAAGCTTTACCCACTAGCGATATGATTCAGTGCTTAAACTTTCTACCGCTGAACAAAAAATTTTACATTAGAAAAATTTAACTCAAAACCAAAGAACCCGCATTTAAATATAAGTGAGATTGATAGAACAAAAACTCCTATACTTTTTATAAAGAACGTCGTCATATAAATATATAAATCATATTGGTTTTTAAGGTTCTGAAACTCGTATATATCAATCTCAAGAACAGCTTCCATTTTGTATAAAATCTACACGTGCCGGATTCGTAAATGGATACTCAGCCGCCGAAAATGTTGGTGATGAAAGCTATTATTGTTGAATATTCTTCTAATCAAGTTTTTGCTCAAAAAAAAGATAACAAAACTTCGTTAATTATTATACTGTAGCAGTTATGTACTTTAAATGGCGTCTGAGGGGATGATTTTCACAAAAAATCTCAAATTTAAAAAATTCATTTTATTTTATTACATTTATTTTTTTATGGTTTTTACTGCTCCATAAAGCTTAAAAGGCAGTCGGAACATTCAGGGATGATACGCCCTGATTCGAGCAGTCTTTTTTATATAGAAATTGTTTAAAATTGTGGGATTAAATTGCCAAGTAGTTCGATAAAACTTGTAGAGTCAGATCGCAAATTTGATTCTTAGCCATGCCATGGCAATGATAGCGTGTGAGGACTAGCTTCAGGTCTACCACAGCCTGACCAATTTCGGCTGTACTAGTGATACCACGTGATTAATCTGAACGCAAAAAAACGACCTTGAGTAGCTAGAATAGAGCGGCGCTCAACAAAAGACTAAGGCTGGATAGCCTTTCATAGATTCTCTGCGAATCGCGGAAACCACAATGAATTAATTATTAACACCCAAATTTTTCACCTTAAAAAACTGAGTATGAGCCTTGCATATAGTTATAAAATGTGGACCCAAAAAAATTGGGCAAGAAAATCTTAAACTTGAAATTTTTTTCCAGATTTTGACGAAAGAGAGGAGGCAGGCTGTGAAATCAAATTATGTGGTGAAAACCTTATTGCGACTGACCAGCCTCAGAACTTCTCTTCCCCGAATTACCCGTCGGAATACCTTAATTCGCTGAATTGTGTTTGGTTGATCAAATCTGAAGACCCTGATAAAGTTATTCAAATAACCTTCGAGAATCTGGATCTAGAGGGAACTTTTAACAGAAAATGCTACGATTATCTTGAATTTTTTGACGGAAATTCAACACAATCTGATACTATCAAAGTAAAAAACAATCGAAAAGTTTGTGGCCGAGAGCTACCAGAGCCCGCGTCTTACTCTTCATCCGGGTCTAAACTGACTGTTAGGCTCACATCCGACACAACTTCAACCACAAAAGGTTTTGTGCTAAGTTACCAAAGTGTTCCAACGAAAAAAAAGGCATGTTGATAATGAAAACAAAGAGCAGAAATCCGTTCAAATGGCCGATGTAGATTCTGAAACAAATAATCAGATTGAAGCCAACGACAAAAACCGAATTCTGAAAGACGGGAATTCCAAAACATTCAAAATTCTAAAACGAGCTAAGAATTCAAATAAACGTCAAAAACGAAGTGACAACTTGAATATGGTTTCCGATAGTACTGAAGGTAGCGAAGACTCCACTGAGAATGATTACGACAGTGATTATACTAATGATTACGATTACAGTTTCGAAACTGAGCACTATTACAAGTACACGTACACGGATTATTTCCATTTATACAAAGCGTCTACCTTGCCTGACTATTCAGATTTCAGAAGAGCAGCTTTCTTTTACCAGCGAGTGGTCCGCCCAAACGACCATCAGGGACTACTCAAACGTTGTGGGCAATTTAGTGAGCTACGTTGATGTTTCATCCACTCAAAAGACTAGTGCATACAAAATATAAAGGAAAAAAGAATGTCTGGCATGAAATAAAAGTGAACACGAACTGAGTCATGTCGTGAAGATCCTGCTGCAGCTTCTCGGCCGCCGTCGTGGCCTGTTGCCACTGTTTGTGCAATCTATTCCTGGTCATGTTCAACATGTCCAGATTCGCATGTGCTCTGTCTACTTCACTCTTGCACTTGTTTGTAGTCTGGAGAAAAAAAGAGTGCTTTCCTGATGCTTTGTTGCCATGACATCTCTTATCTGTCTATTACTATTTTTGCGTTACTCTTAAAGTACGAAATTTCCAAATTCATTATACGCAATACTTACAAAACATCATTTAAATTTTGATTAAAATCAGACCACTTTCAATGCTGACGAATAAAGCATTTATCTTGTTTGACATCATTTGCAAAATGTTTTGATGGCAAACATGTTTGTGGTTGAAAATTATACCGAATAAATACATGGAATGCAGGTATTCGGCACTTATCACAATTTTACACAAAGCGTTCTCAAGGCCAGCAAACAGTTGAGAGATGACTGGATTGCGGCTAGAGAAACTGCCAACTAGGAGTGGGTTTGGTTAGTTCTAGTTGACTGGCCTCGTTTTTAGAGATGAGTAGTTTGCACTTGGTCTGCTTCTCCTGCTGCAGACTCCTGGTGTCTATGGACTCCACAGCAGCCGAGTACTCCTCGTCCAACTCCTTCTTCGTCCCCTTCACTCTCTTCAGCTCCTCCTCCATCCTCTCCATCTGTTTTCTCTTCTCACCCACACTCTTCTGCGCGTCCTCAATCTGGGAAAAAAGAGACAAACAAAAAATAATCAACTATCAGACTTATTAAATACAATTAATTACATTCAAGTCAGCAGTTCCTTCTCAAGTCAATAAACTGTCTTTACTACTCTTCTGACTTTAGTTTTCACGTATTTTCAAGCTAAATTATCAGACACCAGATTCGATTCGTCTGACTCCAGCAAATCAAGAAAATACTTAAGATTTTCAAATAGTTTGCCTCAATTCAATTGCGATAGATTTCCGAGTCGGAGTAAATCGCCGCCTATGATACGCTTTAACTGATCCTCGCATCGATTGTAATTATTATGTGCCTGTAGAGTGAAAATGAACACTTAATTTGGCACAATCGTTTGCTTGTGTATTGAGACTTATTGCTTTCACCATGAAACGATGATTTAGATAACTTTGAAAAACTCGGCTATGTGCATAAAATATACACGAACTGGTTTAACAAAACTCGGTCATCATAACGCATAATAAAAAAGAGGCAGTAGCAGCAGCAGGCCTTTACCTTTTTGCCCAGTGTCTCCGTTTCCTTATTCAGCTTGGGTATGCCCTCCCTGGCGTTTTTGACATCTGCCCTGTGCTTCACATCCTGCTGGTCCACCTCAGCAAACTGTCTCTGCAGCTGCTCTGCCTTCTCGTTCGCACCTCTCAGCTCCCTAAAACACATTCGATACACTTACCAGTCATAACAGTGAGCGTATCATTATTGAGATTATTTAACCATCGCAAGTACGAAATTGAACTTGAACAAAAAAAAACAAACAAACAAAAGGTTTTAAGTTGAGGATTATTGGTCACTTAAAGCAGTTGCATACACTTTCAAATGATCTGAAATGGAAAATGTAATAACTTTTTAAAAATTATGTCTAGTTCTTGAGAAGTGCCGCGGTATTAATCAGAATCCTAAACCAGATCAATTTGATTTTGTTGATCAATTAAATAAGTATTTTAAAATTATCGCTTAGAAAATTGGGCATTCAGGGAGATATCACGCGATCATGTCTAAAAAAATGAAAATTTTTTACTCTTACAAAACCTGATCAATACCATTTCTAAATAGGTAGTCTAGAAGAAAATCTTCTAGGTAAACAAACCTCGTTTAAAATATAGATAAAATCTGCGGAGTTAAATCAGTTATTGAAAAAACTCAGTAAATTCTGTTATATTGCACAGAGGCTACGCGGAGCTTCGCACTACTTGCGATACAACACAATCATAAAAAAGCATGTACAAAAAACTGAAAAATATTGACACAGAGGTGAAGCTGAGCTTCGCGCCACTTGCTATACAACAATATAGGACAAAAGTAGAGGCTATGCTAAGCTTCGCAGATGTTAGCGAAAACATGACAAAAAGCAGCTCTATAAAAGCAATAAGAAAAAGTAGAAATAAATCTCGAATTAGTATAAACTCGGGTACATCTCGGATGTGATCAGCGACCTAGATAATATGAGTGTCACGCACTAACAACTCAGCGACGGGCGTTTAATAAGTCGTAAATACTAGCCACAAATGAAGCAGAAAACATATGATATGAAATTTCCAATACTACAGATCGTGATGTCCAATACTACAGCAAAATGCTACCAAAAAATGAGCACTTTTAATGAACCCTTATCTGCGAGTTAAGTTATACTGTTCGTACTGAGAAAGAATGTTCGTACTAATACATTAACGCTTGCAAGTTTGCTAAGGTAATCAGACAATGAACAGAGGCTAGGCATATTCGACAGTCATATTACAATAAGCAGAAAAATACTTTTTGCAGAAAAATGACAAAAAAAATAATTGAAAAAAAATAATAAAAAAACTAATGAAAAAAATTCAAAAATTTTACTATCATTCAATAAATACGCAGAACATTCCATTATTTCAAGAACTATGCAGATAATATATGGTAGTGTAATTTCCACTGCATAAAAAAGTGCCACCAAATAAGTGAGCACTTTTATTGAACACTTTTATTTGCGAGTAAGGTTAGACAAAGAATTTTCGCACTAGTACACTATCGCTCGCAAGCTCGCTGAGGTAATCAGACAAGATATAGAAGCCAGGCATATTCGACAGTCATAGCACAATAAAAACAAAAAAATCATTAAAAAATCGATAATACTCAATTAAAAATTCAATATTCAATGTGAAAGCATTTTTTCAAGTCCCCCTGTAGTAATTAGTAGCCAGCCGTAATTAGTAGTTGAACTCGAATATCATGAATTTGAGCAAGTCAAGTGATTCAACTCATTTTGTTAATTGTTAGCTTAAAAAAAGTCTATATTCCGATTTGATATCGCTTGCTAATCGCAAGCGTAAACATAAAATCCACTTTCGAAATTAGAAGTCGATCACATTGTTCGTGACTTTTCCTGTTCAATACTGGAGTTTGCCTTCCTTTCAACAAAAAAATGAAGTGAATTTAAAAAGAAATCAAAAATCAAAACGTGAGAAATTAAATTTGAGCCTGAACAAAATTTAAGACTAACTGAAAAGAAAGCAAAAGAAAAATCATCGCCACCTTCAGAAAAGTCTGAAGCAGGTTCATCGATTCTCAAAAATTAATCTCGATTACTTCAAAACCCACCTTTTTCTGCTTGGTTTTCCAATCATTGGTAGTTAGAACCAGTAGCGGATTTAGGGGGCCGTCCGCCCCCCCCCCCCCTCAGGGATTCGACCTCCTACCGACCAGAGGATCCCCCTTTGGTATTTTTTAAGAAATCCATTCTTGGCCCATCGACCCTAAAAATTTTCTAAAAGCGCCTTTGGCGCCAATATATACTAATTTTGAGGGGGGAGCTCGCGCCGAAAAAACGCGATTTTTTGGTCAAAATTTTCCTATAAGTGCCTAAAAAGCCTTTTTGGACTGTTTTTTCAAAAATTTGGTTGCGGTGCAGAAAAATTGTCCGAAACGGACCAAACCGTGGCTAGGGAGAGCTCGAAAAATCAATTCGGTCGGCCAAAAAAAAGGTCGAAAAAATTTCGAACATTTTTTGTAAATCCCCCCCTCGAGAAAATCGTAGATCCGCCCCTGGTTAGAACAATCGGCAATTCATACCAACATTATTATCAGAACTTGCTTCTGAACAATTAAAATGCTTCTGAACAATTAAAAATTAGAAATCAGTTTTCTTTCTTTAGTTGCAATTGCGAATAGAATATATTACAATGTACATGCACTTTTCCTCTTTGGATTTTTTGATGTTCATGATTTGGTTTTCCACGTCTCGTTGAGATGCCTGTTTTACGTCTAATTCGTCCTTCAGTTCGTTAAAATTGGTCTCCAAATTGGTTTTGCTAGCTGTCACTTCTGACCTTAAAAAAACAAAAATCATCAATAAAAGCATCCGGTTGTGTACACCGTAAATCCGACCACAAATATAGCCAACAGTGTCAATCAACTACTCATTGTCATCAAGCAAACCGAAAAAAAAATTAGACATTTCTCACATAAGTTATTTAACTTCGGATCTACAAAAAAATACATAACATCACGTTAAGGCTCTTCCAAATAATGCTCTTCCCTTCGGATTTGGAGAGCGTAATTTGCCTTAGCATATTATTTTGAACTGAATGTTTTATTTGAATTGTGTTTCGCCTGCACGAGCGCATTTTAGTGTTCGTTTGAATTGAACTAGCAATCCTGTCTCCATTAATCAATCAGATCGCAAAAAATTAGTTGTTGTTCTGAACATTCTAACAATTTCAAAATAAGCAATATCGTAAACCGGTTGGAAAAATTTCAAATTTCAAAAAAAGAATTGGTTCGCAAAAACGTGAAGCTTTTCTAAGCAAGCTATGAAATATGAAACTTCGATATGTTTCAACTTCGGTAAGTTACTTCATGATGCAATTCGAATGGCAAAAAAATTAAAGTTTTTCTACTGAAAACATTCAAGAAATGAAACTTTGAAACTTTAAGCTATTTCAAATTAAATCGAATAGCGGAAAATTTGGTCCTTTCTAAGCTAACTATTCAAGCTATCTAATTAAGAAACATTTCAACTATTTCATATAGCAAATCAGTATGCAAAAATCAGGCAGGATTATTCAAGCAAACTATTCAAGCTATGAATTATTTCCAGTTTTTCATAGACCAAAGCTGCTCGCAAACAAATCACTTCTTCTAAACAAGCTATTGAACCTATGAAAAACTTGAAGTATACGAAGCGGTTCGTAAAAAGTTTTTTCAATCAAGCTATTTCCGCTGACACTTAGAAAAGTTATTTCATACACTGTTTCGGTTCGCGAGAAAATTAAGTTCTTTTAAACAAGCTATTCAACCTAAGAAACATTTCCATTTATTTTATAGGCTGAATCGTCTGACTAAATAATTAGGGTTTTTAGGTAAGCTATTCAAGCTATGAGAACTGAAAACTTTTAATCAATTCACGTCAAGAAATTGATCTTGGTTAGCTCGGATGATATTGTGATCATGATACTCTATTGAGTATTCGTTAGCGCGAGGTGCGGTGAATGTTTTTAGTTATTTTTTAAATCCTACGTGCGTAAATTGTCGAGGGGTTAGTGCTGTAGTTAGTCTGAATAATTAGTTTTTGTTTCTTTCGATTTCCTGTGAGGTAATAAGGAGTGGTAAAGCAAGGGGGTTTGTGAAGTTATAATAAGCTGTCCAATGAAGTGTGGGTATTAATACATGTTCGTCTACAGAATTATGCTATTCAGGGTTAGTGTCAGATTGATTAAATGTATATTGGGGAAGAAGGGTAGGTTTCTTGGATATATTTAGTTGTATTTGTATGGATGATTTATATATTCTCGGGCGGTTCCGGGTTTGGATGGGAACGGGTGACTGGGGAATTTTCGTTTAAATGTTCTATAAGCACGGTTAGTACTAGTGGACGATTGTGTTGATGTGGATGACTGATCTAAATCAGTTCGCGGAAACTTAAAATTTTTAAAGCAAGCTATTCCAGTTTAAAAACTTTGAAATACATCAAGTTATTCCGTAGACCGACTCGGTTTGCTCAACGTTAGGTTTCCTAAGCAAGTAGGTTGTTGTTTTTTGTTCATTCATTTCAGACTGAATCTGTAATTGTAAAGCTGTGGAATAAAGGAAGGCAAAACTGTCTGGCCTTGAAATTCAATCGTGATCATAACACAGAGGCGCATACAAGCAAAAACATGACCGATAACGCTACTGGAAAAAACTGAATGAGTAAAACTTTGTGTACAAAATTTTTTCAAAGACGCACGCCAATTATGACGCATTAGCAGTACCATTCAATTTAAAGAAATTTACCAACTAACATGCTTCAATCTATAGAGCAGTCTCTGGGGCAGTAACAACTTGAAAAAATCTAATGTAATGAAAATCACCCCCACACGCCATATTAAGTACAAAGTGATAAATTTCGCTCCTACTAGAAAATCAATTATGGCCTATACGCTTCCTTCAAACAATTTGGAACGATTTCCATGACGTATTAAATCTCCGCTAACGCGTTAATAATGCGAAATACATCGCGCGTTAATTGTCCCAAATTGTCCAAAATGGCAACCTTCAAACCCCCGTAACTCTACGAAAAGTGATCACAGGTAGAATACATTTTCAAATTTAGGCTCAGGACAACAATACCTTTTGAATATTTAAAAAAATTCCGTCAAAAATGGCTAGGTAAGAAGTCGAAATGTCTGAAAAAAAAACAACCCCGAGCACAAATATTCAGTTACTTTCGTTACGAAAGTCGCAAAAAAATAGTCTGTGTTAAGATCCTAAGCATTGGCTGAACTTAATAACTGGTTATTGATAAAAAAAATCAACACCTTCAAAACGAACACATTTTATCGTAACAATACTTGCGTCGCAACAATATTTGCAACTTAGGCTGGAAAAAAAGATTGTTCATACTATAACGCAAGCATTGCTTGTGTAAACAACGTTCAAGAAGGCTTAGATCAGAACTTTTAAGAATCATTTAGAGGAAACAACCAGTTTATTGTTTATGAGGCGTTTAGGCAAGAAACTTCAATCATTCTTGTCTAGAATATTCTAAAAATCTGTTTGGAAAAAGTTCGAAAGTGCTTGCCTCAGCGCTTCTTAAACAATAAACTCGTTGCTTGCTTTGAATAATTCTTAAATGATCTGATCTAAGCCTTCTTGAACGTTGTGCTCATTAGAAAAAATTATAATATTGCGTCCATCCATATCGCATGAAGACTTCCATTTAATATATGAGATTTTTATTTGAATTGAATTTTCGCCTGCAAAATCGCGTTTTCATCTGGCTGCGTTCCTATTAATTTTTTGAAAGTAGTTTTTAGCGCTGATGGGCCAAAAATGGGTGGGGTGATGTGGTAGGTAGGCCGAATTCATATAGATCAAGTCAGGAGAAAATATGCTCCTACATGATACAACAAAAAGACAAATATTGTCGGCAGCTGATTTTCCGTAGAAAAAAAACAATGCAAGAACAACGAGTAAATAATTGTTTATGATCCACTAATAAACCAATGAGTAATTAAAATGGAAACTTACTTGTACTTTTGCATGATTTTGTTCTTGAGGGATGAAATACTGTTTTCGAGGTCCAGAAACGCCACTGCTTCCGCTTTCAGTTTCTCCAGACTATTTTTTTCGCCTTCAACAAGAGCCACGCGTTTCATCTTAAACAAGAAATCCATTCAATAAATTCTGGGACATGACCGTAAAAGGGATAATCGAGGAGGGGAACTACACCTCCTGTAAATCCTGCCCCGTTTTTCAAAATTAACTTTACCCTATAAGGACACAGAGACAAAGCAGAGCTTCGCACCGTTTGCGATACAATACAAGAATACCGCGAAAAAGAATTCGAAACAAGAAACATCGAAAATGTCAAAAAAAACAAGATCTATCAAAACAAATACAGCTACTTTTGAAAAAAAACGTGCCAAAACAACATAATCTGAAATAAGCATCAGAAAAAAGTATCGGTAACAAAGCCGAAAAAAAAACAATTTTTTTTTCAAAAATTGTCGAAAAAAAATTGATTTACCAATACTTTCAAATCGTTGTCTTGATTCTGTCTCAAAGAAAAATCCTCTTAAAACAAGCCAACTGAATGTTCAATCAGCATGAAATTAAAACAAACAAAGTAGTAACAAAGACAGATCTTCTTCAGCAGACATAATTTGAGCCTAAAAATATGTTTCCATAAAAAAACTTATGCGCAAACTTCTCAAAATGATACCGTTAAGCCAATAAAACGAAAGCCGAAACCTTTTCAGGCAAATAAAGAAAAAAAATGATATACTGAAATCGGAGTACGTAAATTTACAAAACTCGAATAGAACGAGCATTTAACACACCATGCTCAAAGTTTTCTGTCAATTGACAAAGTAGTATTGAGGAAAACTAAAGTTTCAGTCATTCTGTGAACAAAGTTGTTTACGGGGAAAGTTAAGTAGCCGGCTTATGGCAAGGCTACGAAGAAGTCTTGAATGGACTTGTGAAAGTGCAACTAAATTGGCACCTGGTCTTTTCTTTTCTCTTCTAGCTCTCCTAGTTCAGAGTCTATCAGTGTCATGAGTTCCTTGTACTGGTATGTGCCTATGATGTTCTCCAGATACTCCAGCAGTCCCTCGTCATGTTCACTCAACCCCTTCGGCTTCATCTGAGATATCTGCTCCACCTCACCCTTCAACAACAATTGCAATAAGTCACTCATATTTTCCACACACCAATGTCTAAAAGGCCAATAAATAGATTCTTAAGGCCCATTTACAAAACCTCCACAAAGGATAGACGAGGAAAGATTGGCTAAAACTTGTCATGTCTGAAGATGATGAGGCTGTTCGAAATTTCAGATTCTGCTCTACATGCTAACTATTGCACTGACGAAATTATTGCAAGACGTATAAGGGACCAGGTTAGATGCAAGTGGTCCAAACCAAATTCACTCATAGTATATTCCAATCTAATATCTGCTGAGTTTGATAGAACACAACACGCTTTAGGCAATTTCTTGATTATTTGATTGAGTTGAAACAATTATAGACTGTTTCATTTCACGTGCAAGAATCTCCTTTAAACGAAAAATCAGGACCCAAACAATGCAACTATGCTCAATAAAAAAGACTGTAGAGCATTGAGACAACAAGGCATATATAAATGTCTTCACTACGTTCATCCGATTGACAAAGGTCATTTTGGGTACATAATCCGACAGAATTAAAGCCAATATCCATTAAATTCATAATCTGCGCAGGGTTGGGAAAAAACGTTTTTTATTGAAAAAATCAATTAAACAGCGTTTTATTTATAAAAAACATGTTTTATTGTTTTTTTACAGTTTGTTCCGATCTAACTTTTTGCCTTAATACCGATGATCTAAAGATATGCGGCAAGAAAAACGGAAGCCAGATAATCATCTCTTCCTTTTGCTACAAAATGTTTAAGAAGATCCGGTGCAACATTGTAGAGATCGAGCCGACTGAATAAGGGAAGGCGGCTCATACCCCTATCGCAGCGTTCGACTCCCAGATAAGTCTGTGTTTTTATTTTAAAACCTTTATCGCTAAAAACTAGTTTTTTATTTTCCGTTTTAAAACGTGTTTTTTTTGCCTTGTTTTAAAACATGTTTTAAAACATTCCCAACCCTAAGTCTGCATATATATTTCTGCAACAACGTTACCATGTTTAGATTTCGCCACTCTGATAGCAAATTTGTTTACGGGAAAAAACTAACGAGCCCGATTACAATACCGTTGCTATTTACAATTGTAATGATTGCAAAAAAAAAAACAGCTAAAACGCAGTTAATCAACCAAATAAAGAAAACCGGACTTCTTTTATGTTCCAAGTGGGCAGTTTCGCGATCTAACTTTGCACTTGATTCTTTCTAAATTTTTGCATACAAAGACGGATCCAAATACGAGGTTGCAACTACTGTGATGATGTTTGAAGAATAAAACAAACCTGGAGAGTGAAGAACCGGTTATGATCCAAATCAACCGCTTTGCTCTTTAGTAGATCCCGCACTTCCTTAAAATGACTTTTCTTTGCATTGATGTAATAGTTAGACGAGTTATCGCGATAAGCTGTCCTTGAAATCACAAGCTCCGACCCAGCAACAATTGTGAAATCATTTGGATCTGCAGACTGAAATGTATGTACGGTGGCGTCCCTCATGCTTGAAGGACCGAATGTGTTAATACTGACCGATTAGATAATTAGCAGATGCGTTTTCAAGACTGAAAAATTCGTATGAACTTGAACTCATAAATCTTGATGTTTATCTGAATAGTATTGCGGTTGTAACCTGCAATTTGTAATTTTTTTGATTATTTCCCACTGATTTAAAACATTTTCTGTCAATATTGACTTCGATTTTGTGAGAAAGGCATTTAGGCAATAGGAATGCTTAGCGATTTTGATTGGTTGAAACTTTTCAAGCATTCGGTCCTTCAAGCATGATAACCCTCCCCGTATGTACTAGGTATAACAGTCAAGTTTAAAAAACCTCAATTATAGCTGCATCCAATATCACACCCCAATGTAAACTTACAGAGTCAATTATTTCCGCCAAATGCACAGCGACAGAGCATGATGGAATATTTTGACAGCTTTCATCTGAGTTGTGAATTGACATGGACAGTTTCTTCAACCTGATCTTGGCTGCTCTGAATCCAAACACAAATAGAAGCGCATCGATGACGTTGCTCTTCCCCGATCCATTTGGCCCCACAATACAGCAGAATTTCTAAACATACCAATTTTGTCAAAGAAACTATTTGGCTGTTTATGAAGCCTTTCTAATTTTTGAAATTAGAAAGTACACCATTGAGAGCCATTTGTAGGAAATGTTTATTAAACATCATATCTCAGAAACCTCGATTTGAAAAATTTAAAAACCATCACAAGTGTGAAGACGTTGATTAAATAGTAAACTATATTAAAAAACACCTTGAAAATTTTGCTGGGATTAAGTCTATCACACTCTCACATCTGCTGCACGACCGCTTGAAATTTTACCAACACTAGCCACCAATGAAGCAGCTACAGTTTCTATCAAATTGCCAATGTTAAGCAGCAAAAGTTCGACCAAAAAATTAAAACTATTTAAAAGTTCCGGACTTAATTACAGGAGAAAAATACCACCCCCTCTTTTCAAATTTAGCTCGGTAATTTTCAAAAAAAAAGCAAAAAAAAAGGTTCCGAAAATTGATCGAAAACTCAAAAAAATTTGACTTTTCCTTAATCCATTAACTTTTCTCTACTAAAGCATTGGAATAGCTTCAGCTTTTCAAGACTGGCGATTTGACACCCCAATTTTTTAGATTGAACCCTTCATATTAGATTTAGCTAGTAGTTTTCGGGAATAGTGACGAAATTTCTTTAGACGTAAATAAACTAAAAATAAATTGTTGTACATATCAGCTTTTCTACAAAAAAAAATACCGAGTAAAACAATTTACGAAGGAAAAACCTAACCACCATGCTTGTTTTAAAGAACTATCAACCTCACAATCAGCAAGTAAGTTTTCGAAAAAAAAACAACTTTCCAAAAAATGGACAAAACTTCAAAAGTTGGACATTTTCTGAGGCTTGCGCAGGTAATTTTCACATAACTGATTTTTTCTTTCAGCTTAACCTTTTAAACTCCAAGTTGACGGGGAAGTTTTTGACGGAATATGTTAGTAGTATATATTGGAGCCAAACCGCCGGGGGGTGGAAACTTTCAAGTACTAAGATAAGCTTTAGACTATCCGGTCTCCACCCTATGTTTTAACATAAAGAATAGATTTCCCATGTATAAAGGGTATAGGTTTCAGATGGTAAGTTTCGAGAAAAACATAGGTTTTCAAAAAAATTTTGGCGCCCGATTTCGCTTTTATAAAAAACACATAGAAAAAGCTCGAGGAAACACATAGAAAAAGTAACAATTTACGGCATCGTATATCATTTTACTATATAATCTCTTCCAAACTTAAAAATACCACCCCCTCTTTTCAAATTTAGCTCGGTAATATTCAAAAAAAAGCAAAAAAAAAGGTTCCGAAAATTGATCGAAAATTCAAAAAATTTGACTTCTCCTTCATCCATTAACTTTTCTCTACTAAAGCATTGCAATAGCTTCAGCTTTCCACAACTTGATTTAAAGACTGGGGATTTGACACCCCAATTTTTTAGATTGAACCCTTCATATTAGATTTAGCTAGTAGTTTTTCGGGAATAGTGACGAAATTTCTTTAGACGTAAAAAAACTAAAAATAAATTGTTGTACATATCAGCTTTTCTACAAAAAAAAATACCGAGTAAAACAATTTACGAAGAGAAAACCTAACCACCATGCTTGTCTTAAAGAACTATCAACCTCACAATCAGCAAGTAAGTTTTCGAAAAAAAATAACTTTCCAAAAAATGGACAAAACTTCAAAAGTTGGACATTTTCTGAGGCTTGCGCAGGTAATTTTCACATAACTGATTTTTTCTTTCAGCTTAACCTTTTAAACTCCAATTTGACGGGGAAGTTTTTGACGGAATATGTTAGTAGTATATATTGGAGCCAAACCGCCGGGGGGTGGAAACTTTCAAGTACTAAGATAAGCTTTAGACTATCCGGTCTCCACCCTATGTTTTAACATAAAGAATAGATTTTCCATGTATAAAGGGTATAGGTTTCAGATGGTAAGTTTCGAGAAAAACATAGGTTTTCAAAAAAGTTTTGGCGCCCGATTTCGCTTTTATAAAAAACACATAGAAAATGCTCGAAGAAACACATAGAAAAAGTAACAATTTACGGCATCGTATATCATTTTACTATATAATCTCTTACAAACTTAAAAATACCACCCCCTCTTTTCAAATTTAGCTCGGTAATTTTCAAAAAAAAGCAAAAAAAAGGTTCCGAAAATTGATCGAAAATTCAAAAAATTTGACTTTTCCTTCATCCATTAACTTTTCTCTACTAAAGCATTGCAATAGCTTCAGCTTTCCACAACTTGATTTAAAGACTGGGGATTTGACACCCCAATTTTTTAGATTGAACCCTTCATATTAGATTTAGCTAGTAGTTTTCGGGAATAGTGACGAAATTTCTTTAGACGTTTCGTCACTATTGACGAATAGTGACGAAATTTCTTTAGACGTTTCGTCACTATTGACGAAACGTTTTTTTCATTGAAAAGGTGACATGATCACTACTCACAAATCCAAAACCATCATCAAAAAACTCAATTATTTTTAACAAATCAGGCTCATACTTTGAGTTTTGTACTTTCCGAACTCTTTCCAGAAAAGCTGAACCAATATTTTATAGAAGCCAGTTTCTGGTTAGTGAATAAATAAGGACGTTTGAACTTTTTGCGTAACAGTCTTCTCTTTCCAAAAGTTGGCAATTTTTCTAATCCTTTCCATTGCAAATTGTGATGAACAACTCGATTAAGTTGGTTGAAAACTTCGCCAGTTGATGAAATATCATTCGAGTAAAACCTGTATTTGTATAGAGTGTAAAGCCATTCGATAATTTGGGATACATATCAGTATTTAGACAACCGCGTATTCAGACTGGTCAGTATTTAGACAAATACTGTTTCAACCAATCAGGATCGAGACAAAGAAGAAATTAATAAATAATTATTATTTATTTTGGATTATTTATGTCTTTTCTCGATTCTGATTGGTTCATACAGTATTTGTCTAAATACTGACGAGTATGAATACGCGGCTGTCTAAATACTGGCTGCAGTCCGATAATTTGATATGTGAAATGAAATGTACCCAATCGCTGTAAAATTTTATCAAAAGATGAACCAATCAGAAGTATGTGGAACTTACAATTATGCTTAAGGACAGTAGGAATTGTGAGTAGAGACACAAAAAATCTTGGGTTACTAAATAATTATCGTAAGAGTCACTAGAAACGGAAATGAATAACAATTTTTTACAGTAATCTGAATAAAAGCTGGAAAGAGATTAACACATAGCAGCAGCCATCTGTAACAATACTTTTTGCTTATAAGTATGGATTTATATAGGAGCACTAACGCCTACACAGTTTCCCTACACAAAAAATTTCATTCAACTATCATTTCCTTTTATGGTTACTTGCATGACTCATACTGTTTAATCAAAATGTACACAAGAAAAGACACTAATTCCAATCACATTGAATTTTCAAAAAAATCAAACAAGAACAAACGAGAAAAATTAAACTATTCAAGAACAATGAGTTGAGGCAACTCGAAAAAAGACAGCAAATCTATCTTGGTGAAAAAAAGGATAAACAGTCTCGGCAATTAGAAATACTGTTATCCACGATGCAAAAAACCTTTGGACTGGTTCCTATATTGAAATTTACTTTTGACAAAAGATAACTATAGATCAGGAGCTTGCCAACTGCAACAAAGTGTATGACATAGCAACTTACAATAATCAACGGATTATTTCAGCCATTTCGCATAGAAACTTATTAACTTGCACTGAAAAGCTTAAATCTTGCTCCAAGAAAACTCTTAGATATCTGCATTATCGAGGGAAAATCATAAGCCGCAATATTTTAAGCCCACTAAAGCAAAAACAAATTGAACAAAAATTATCAAAAAGCTATAAGAATTGGTAATTTTTACACCCAAATTTCGAATCTGTTAGTTGAAGGTAGAGTTAGAGATGACCCACAAATTTCAGTCATCCTGTGAATCAAATTATTTACCGGGAAAAGCCTGGTATCCGGTTAAAACAACCTTGCTTATCGCAATGGTAATCAGAAAAGTATGTTGGCCAAATTACCTTGTGAAAAGGACCTAACTCCACTGTCCCTCCGTAGGATTTGAAGTTTTCTAGACTAAGTTTGAGAATTATCAAACGTGGCTTAGGGTTAACTTCCTCCTCTGTGACCATTTCCATCTGCAAATCTAAAATTTCATTTCAAACAATTGAAGTTCTATTATATTGATAAAGAGATCCTGACCTGATTCAAAGTTGTTAACCAGCTAATAATGAAAAAGCATCATTGACAATCGAACATGTAACAGTCGTCTACTTAAGTCACATATGAGGTTAAAGAAAAATAGGCCCTATAACCATTGGCTCAAGAGTCAGGGACACTATCTCTCGTGAATGCGTTAAAATTGTTAATTCAAACAAACGTTTTCGCACAATTTTGTGCATCTTCAGGTTTTAAAATTCTAAACTATCTGTTCAAAATGATGTGACATTCGACCAGAATGTGAAAAATGCAATCTCTGCAGAATTCGGAATTTTAGCAGTAAGCCTTCCGGATTGGTGGTTTTTAAGAACTAAGAGCGTTATTGGAACGTTTGGCCAGACGGTGAGGGCTGGAATATTCTAGTATTTTAAAATTTCAAAAATTCGAATGATGACGTCACATTTCTGAGAAATGCTGAAACGGCCATTTTAACAAAAAACGAGAGAGAAAACACAACAACATTAGTTGCGCTGACGATAACAACGATAATCGTGATTGAAAAACAGCAGCAGATTGCAGGAATAGCAGAGAACGTTCCGAGTTGCAACTATTGTGCTGCTACAATAGTTGCAAGGCCGTTGCGAGCAACGGTGAAGGGTGAGAAACCAGCCTTCCGGATTAGGAGGAAATCAAGATTAGCGAGCTTGATTCAGTGGATTCAAGAATCCGGAAGGGTTTCGGGACTGAAACTTTTAGCCTGTTATATAAACTTTTAGCTTCCTGTCATGTCCTGACTTGAATTTAATTGATATCTAGATTCATTTTGATAAGGATGAGAAGCTAGGAGTTGGGGGAAAGGGTTGATCCATCTTCGATGGAGATGATGATTTTTATCTACTGAACAAAAACAATAGTAATATAATAAGTAGTAGCCCTGTTTTTAGGAGTGACCTCGTGGTCTGGGGATACTGAGACCCAGCCATGAGCTCACTATTTGCATGTAATTAAGTTAATTTGAGCGTTCTGGTCGAAGCCGGAGAACAGTAACGTTTTTGTCGACCCGATGTTAGAAAGACCACCGAAAAGTACTGGCTTGGTAGAGACGGTGAAAAAGCATGCAAAGCTGTTTAGACGCTAGCCAGTCGTCTTAAGACTTAGTTTTGTTATCCGTCGATATGTATCTTCCGGGCGAATGTTACATACATGTTTTTATGCAGCTCCTGGGTGTTATTCTTTTTTAACATCATGACCGGCGGAACCGTTAACGAGCACTCCGCGCCGAGCGGATGCTCACATTAACGCCCTTAATAGGCCTAAACTGCCGGGACGGAAGGGTAGTTCGGAACGCGGAAGCCTTCCGGATTACCGTGAATAGTTTTTTAACCTAGTTAAGACCGAAAATTCACGAACCAGGAAGGGTGGGGGGAATCGCGAACCCCTCATCCCCTGAGTGGTTTGTGACCAAAAACACTTAAAGATATAAGTAAAACCCAAAAAAAAGTAGTATAGTACCCAAGAAAAACAAAAAACATAAAAAATAACCGAAAAAACCAAAAACAGTAAAAAAAAAAAGTAAAAAATCAGTAGAAATCATCCCCCCAGACAAGATGTGATCCAACCCCCCCGTTTGTTGTTGATAGATATATTGTTGTTACAGGCATTTATATCAGTCAGGATTGTTACGATCAGTTTTGTAGCCCGTTTGTGAGGCTTGTACTGTAGGGTTATTTGAGCATTTAAGCACGTTAATGATAAATTGCGCTCAATCCGGAAGGGTCAGCTGATTTGCGCTCAATTCGGAAGGGTCTTGGGTGAAGACCGATCCGGCAAGCAGTACAAGGAGCAACAAGAAGAGGCTCAACGACGACAACAATCGACTGTTGGGTATCGTTAACAAGTTTTGTAGCCCTTTTGGTACAAAAAGTAAGATAGTGATCTGTGGGGTACTCGACAGTGCTGCACTGTAGTGACCCTTCACCGAACTGCGAATATCCGAGTTAAGCACCTTAATTCGGATATTGAGGAAACCCGGAGGGGTATAGTATTACTAATGTTATTATTTATATAGCCTATATTAATAGTCTTATATCGTTTTTCAGTGAAAAACAACGAAAACAGACCGGTTTTTAGGGTCAAAATAGCGATATTTTGATCCCCCCACAAGTCGCGATTTTTGAGATATCGATATTTTTTCAAACGGAAAAAAGCGCTAAGTTAGTGTGTTACATCGTAACTGCACTACCACAATAGATAGAACCGGTTAAGTTTAGTTCGGAAGTGGTTGGAACTATTTTGGAACCAAAAACCGAATTTTCGTGATTTTTGAGAAAACGAAACACTACAAATTTAGAAAATTTTTTGAAATTTTTGAGTTACAACAGTAAAAATAGTTGTTCGGACAACGTCCACTAGTGAATCTACAAGTTTTAAAAACCGCTACCCGAAAGCCTTCCGGGTTGCAGAGAAATCGAACTTAACGTGTTTGATTTGGTGGATTCATCAATCCGGAGGGGTACAGGTAGCATAGTTTTTCGCAAAATTTTTCAGCAAAAGCGTTTTAGATCGGGTCTTCTGCATTGAACTAGAAGAGTATAGGCCTTCTGAGCTCGGATCAATAATTTTTAAGTCGAAAGGACCTGATTTGCGGAAAAAGTTAGGCGGAACCTATAAGAGAGAAAATTTTTTTGAGTTTAGAAAAAAGACGTTTTAGTTAATAACTTTGGAACTACTGAGCATATTGAGTTGATCTTGGTACCAATAGATCAGAAATTAGCTGAGCTTACTGTTTTTACCAAATAACACAAATCCGGAGGGGTACACCCTTCACGTTTTATAAATTTTTCTGAAAAACCCTTAGACCCCTACCAAAAGGTAATAGCGGTTGAATAAAGTAACTTTAGGCCGTTCTAGACCAGAAGGGAGGGCTAAAGGCACAGCAAAAGCTAAATCGAGCCGAAGTTAGGCCAGCGATAAGACCCTTCACCGTTAGCGTGAATTGTCAAATAAGAGGCTTAACTTCAATCCGGAAGGGTCTAGGAAGGTAGTACATACCCTTCCCAGTTAATTGAAAGAGCATAATTGCATCGGAGAACGTATCCGGAGGGGTATAGGTTGAAAAAAGGAAATCTCCGAAAAGCCACTCTTACAAAACCGGAGGGCTCCCAATCCGGAGGGGTCAAAGATTTTTCAAGTTAGGAGGGGTCCGAATCCGGAGGGGTCTTATAGTTGCTAATTCGGAGGGGTCCAAATCCGGAGGGGTCTTGTATTAACCAACTCAGAGGGGTCCAAATCCGGAGGGGTCTAGATTCTATCAATCCGGAAGGGTCCTATTTGTGCCAATCCGGAGGGGTATTATTTTATTAAGGACTTAGGTAGACGAAAGAAAGACTAAAAAGTGAGAGGTATTAGGTTATTAACACACAGGCTAGGTATCAGTGACTGCACTGGTAACTTGCCTTTCAATAAGAACCAGACTAATACAAAACAGGTCCGAACTCGGATATTCGCAACACTAAGTCTAAACTGAAAAAGAGTGAAACTCTTTGGGGTAAATTGAAACCCAATACGTTTTTGCGAAGA